TAAGGCCGCCAGCTGTCTGTGTTCTGGCTCAGGAACCGAACAGCGTATTTAGAGGCAGCGAGAGCGTGCGCTTGTTGTTTTAGTCAGTGTTTGGGCTGGCAGGGCTGCTGCCAGAGCGGTGCACTGAAGGACGGCCGGCAGCCCCAGCTTCCCTTCTGCACCAGGAGCCCTGTGCCTGGCTGTCAGGGTCTCCCAGCCCCTGACGCCCATGAGAGAAGCTTGGTGACAAAGTGTGTCCTCAAGGTGCTGGCCTGCTGCTGCTGCTGCCCGTCCTGCCTTACCAGGCAGCTCACTCTAATTCTGCCAGCTCTGACAAGAGGTGGGAGCAAGTCGGTGAGCTTCACTGAGGAGTTTACTGGTCCAGGGATGTTTACTGCATCCAGAATCTTGCAGACCCCTTGTTTCTATGGCTTTATCTCATGGCTGTTGGTTTTACTTCCCCTTGAGAGGCTGTGCAACCTTCTTCGCTGGGTACCTTGCTGCTCAGGCTTGTGCAGTGCAGATGCGTGGAGTGCAGAGCAGCATTCAGAGACCCCACAGCCACCCCGGGGCTGGACCAGCATCTGCTTTCAGCTTTATCTCTTTTCGACTTGGCTCCTCAGTTCCCCAGCGGTTTGGGGGAGGGATCCCACAGGCTGTCCACATTTCTGGAGATGCAGCCATGTGGGGAGGATCCCCTTCCTCATCAGCAAGGCAGCCTCTTGAACACCTCAGGTGGGTACGGGCTCACAAGCCCAGTCTGCTGCCTGTGGTGCCAGTGCTTTGGGCTTGCTGTTGGTCACCCAGCTGGTGATAACTCCTCTACCCTGCCTTTCCTGCCAGCAAGGGCACCCTACTGCTTTGCCAGCAGTTTCCACCTCATCGCGTGAGGTTGTCCCATTACGTGGAGCTGAAGTAAATGAGTGAAAGCTCATGGGTTTGGACAAAGTGTTCCCCCCACCCAGCGTTTTCCCCTTGCTATGCCTGAAAGCAAGAGAAGGGTATGTAAAATACAGCTGATAGGTGGAGCGGTCTCTTCTGCCCTGGCAGCTACCCCAGCGAGGCATTTTAAAGGGTGTCATGGCAGCTCTGCAGGCTGGGGCTCGTGACCACTGGCCTTTGAGGCAGGGGAGGTGCTGGGCCAGCAAGGGAAGTCCTGGTGGAAGCAGAGTTTTTTATCTGGGCTGCCTGGGCCCGGTGTTTGAATGCTGGGAAATGCTCTTCTCCAGATGTTTCCTAGCACACGCCGGCTCTGTTTATAAACAGCTCCTCAAAGCAAAACCCGCTGGAGCTGCAGGCAGGCGCTTGCAGCAGCGGCCCCACATGGCTCCCCCGCACCTCCTAACGGGGTTGAGGGCCTGGGGCCACTGTCTTTCCCCTCCCGGCTAGAGGGGCCAGGGTGGTTAACAAAAGCCTGAAATGCCTCCTCTTCCTCTCTCCTCCCCTTCTCCCGGCCAGCAGCTTCCTGCCCCGTTGCATCCCAGCAGTGACCGGCATCT